AAAACACTAGCTTTTTTTGAATCCTAAAAGAATCTGTGACCAAATGTTTTTGTATCCTTATAGTAATTATAATGTAACAGATTGTTAACATGTAAAAGAGTAATAATAGAATAAGGATGATTATGGTAAAGGCTAAACACTGTAAGGGCATGGACTTATTTATTCCTTAGAATGACCTAATGCCATGAACAGGGCTGTCAGCCTTCTCTCTGCAGGTGACCAAGCTGAGACTTGTGGACGTTGGGGTCCTTTGTCCAAAGAGCTTCACAATAATTGGGGAAGCAGGCTTTGAACCTCCCAGTGTGACCCTGCACACAGCTGTCACCCTCCCTGCTATACGATCTTTTTGTTTTTTGTTTTCTATTCAAGGCCTGTTCTCACCCATACAATTTGTTTTGAGATGATTGTAGATTCACTTGCAGTTGAGATTGTAGATTCCTTGTATCCTTACCCAAGTTCCCTCAGTGGTAGCATCGTGCAAAACTGTAATTCTCTATCACACCCAGGACATTGATATTGACACTGTCAAGATTCAGAACGTTTCCATCACCGGGAAAATCGCTCTTATTTACAGCCACGTCCACCCATCTCCTACCCCATCCTTTATTTACCTCCCGGCATCCACCAATCTGATCTTTTTTTTTAAAGCTGTAATCGGCTTAGCATGTTAGTTTCAGGTGTCCAGACAAGTGATTCAGTTATACATATATGTACCTATATATTTTTTTCTTTTCAGATTCTTTTTCATTATATATTATTACAAGCAATTGAATGGAACTCCCCGTGCTCTACCGTAGGTCCTTGTTTATCTATTTTATATGTAGTAATGTGTGTTAATTCCTGACACATGATCATTTTTATAATTTTGTCATGTCAAGAATATTATATAAAGAAGACTTGGAGAAATGAAATCATGCAGCGTGTCATCTTTGGGGGTTGGTGTTTTTCACTCAGAGATCCACCCAGGTTGGTGCAGGCGTCAGAAGGTGGTTCACTGTGGTGCTGACGTGTTCCCTGGTATGCGTGTACCGCAGTTTGTTTAATATTCACCTGATTAAAGGACTTGGAGTTGTTTCCAGTTGGGAGCTATTGTGAATATAGCTGCTGTGAACATTCACGTACAAGTTTTTGCATGAAGATAAATTTTCATTTCTCTGGGTTCAGTCCCAGGAGTGTGGTTGTTGCCCCGTGTGTTAATTGCATAGTCTGCATAAGTGCGTAGCGTTAATTGCATTTAGTTTTGTAAGTGAACTGCCAGACTGTTTTTCAGAGTGGCCCAAGAATTGAAATCTATTTTTTTCACATTTTATTTTTTATTGTTTCGGGTGTTTTTTTGGGGCGGGGAGGGGTAGGTAATTAGGTTTATTTATTTATTTACTTATTTATTTTTAAATGGAGGTGCTGGGGATTGAACCCAAGACCTCGTGCATGCTAAGCATGCCCTCTATCACTCAGGTATACCCTCCTTCCAAGAAATCTAGGTTTGTTTGTTTTTTTATGTTGTCTATATCTTTTGTATTTTCAAATTTAACCTTTGGAACTTATACTGTCTGCAAATGACCCTAAAAATTTGATATCAAATGCGGTACGTAGTGGTTTTGAGGCCAGGGTTTGAATCACGTACTTTACAAGGCTGTTTTTCTGAATGGGTCACTTAACTGGCAGGTGGCCTAGCGGTCTGCTCAGCTTTTGTATCATGGCGACATTTTCTTTTTCTCTCCTCATTAACTCTATCCTATATGTTAAAAGAACACCCTTCCTGGGGCTTTTAATGGTTATTCGGCAAGCCATGCGTTTTTGCATGTTTAAAGGCACACCCAATTAATTTTGTTCTCCAGTGAATCCCTTCAAATGTTCAGTGGTTGAACCCTTGAAAGTGCTGTAGTAAGTCTGTAGCTAAACACAGGTATTATTTTATTGTAGCCGCCATTTATGTGGGTATAATTACCTCATTCTCCATTCATTAAAATTTGTTTGTGGACAGTTCCTTCACAGGTACCCCTTGTAAAAAGCTCTTGTAATAAATGAATTATCACTAGGGCAATGGTTGAAGAGAGCCTCTCCAGTGGAATAGATCAAGTGTGTTTATTTCTTATCTTTTTTTTTTATTAAGTATTTTTTTTTTTTTGGTGTGTGTGTGTGAGGAGGGAAAGTAACTAGATTTATTTATTTATTGACTCTTTAAGCGGAGGTACTGGGGATTGAACCCAGGACCTCGTGTGTGCTAAGTACACACTCTAACACGGACCTATATCCTCCCCCTCTATTTCTTATCTTAACTCTTGTACATAAAATCTCAGCTTCAGTGCTGTTGCATTTTTTCCTACGATGTGTTTTTCTGCATCATATTGGATTAGTCCTATAGTGGTTCACTTTTTTTTTCTCATTTTCAATTGTTTTTCTTTCCTCCACAATTAACGCTTCCTCAGTGTCTTCATGGATTTATTTTGCTTTCATCATCCTAGTGACCTCTGTTTTCTCCAGCTTACACATAGTTCAGGAATGAATTTCATTTCTTTGCAAAGTACATATTTGCATCGGTAAAGCTCAGAAGTGGATATGGTTTTTTAAAGCACCCTAGGCAATTTAATTTCCAAATAAGTCATAGGCACTTAGCATAGCATGCTACAGGAATTCAAAAGTTAAATTTAAAAAATTTTTAGGATTTTGATGAGCGATCAGCAGTTACCTCCCGTTTTTCACAATCACCAATAATCGATGTGATTTTCATGTGATTGCTGGATTTTTGTCCCTTCGTGGGCTGGGATTATCTGATTAAACCCACACCTCACTGAACCTTAGGAGGTATGTTTTCATTAAATGGATTGAACCTGCCAAGCAAATAAAAACCTTATTTCTTTGCTAAAAATGAGCGTTAAGTGCAAAAACATGTGTTTGATGAACATCGGAAAGGTCATTAATTAGTGGTATGATGTCATGCATGAGAGGTGAGCGTAGGAGTTGAACTTGATGAAGACTTCTCAGCCTTGGCACTATTTATGTTTTGGACCAGATAATTCCTTTCTGTAGGTGGCTGTCCTCGGCACTGAAGTCTGGCAGCTTCTACACACTCCATGCCGGTAACATACCTCCCCACAATCTTCATCTATAATTAAAAACATCCCCAGACATTTGTCTTGCTTGAGGTGGTGGTGGGATCAAGTTTCCCCTGCTGAGAACCACTGGACTTGAACAAAATGTCATTAGCAAAAAGGTGGCACCTTATGCATCAATTGAGAAATTTATGAAAGTTTCTGCACTGGACCTCTGGTGTGTGTCAAGAGATTCATTTTAGTTAGGTAATGAAAGAAACAAATTTTACTTCTTCATACCATGTCTCTCACACTAGCAGACAGCCTGGTATTTCTTCCTCCTCCTGCCCATGGAGGAGTGAGAGCGTGTTACCCCAAATCTCCACCATAATACCATTTGGGGCGGGAAGACTGCGTTGCTCAGAATGCAAATGCCGCATTTCCTTTCCTTCATGAGTCCTGTCTAGGATTAGTGACTCTCGTTACATCTTTTCAGGTAAGGATGTAATCAATGGTGATGGCTTCCTGGGTTACCCTCCCAAAACAGGTTTGACTTTTCATAGTCCTGAGACCCAAAAGGCTGAGTTAAATGGAAAGTTGTAAATTGGGGAGGGGGGGGCTGCTGTCAGAGATGTTTTTGGTCAAATCAGCCTTTCAGTGCCTCTAGTACATCACAGAGTTGTACTTGGTTTGAATCCACCCAGTGGAGACCGTGACTTCAAAAGACTGCAAAGTCCCTGATTTGATTGAAATAAGATCCAGTCCAGTATCCCACGCAGTGAATGAATGAGAGAATGAATAACAACTTTGTGGGCGTTGTGAGGGGTGGGGCGTGAGCTTGGCTAGGCAGATTTTGAGTCCCAAGAGAAATCCGAATTGCCTTTGAGGTCCTCCATTGCCTTATCACCTCTGTGCTGTCAAGCCATCAAACCTCAGGAGTTCGTGCTTTGAACCATCACTTGAATGTCCTTGTCACGTCCTCACTGGGAGTTTGAACACCGAAATGCTCTTCTGGCTGCTTGTTTCCCCTTCACTCCCCTGACACCGACAGACTGATTGTTTTAAACGCAAGTTTTGTTGAACACAAAAATCTCCAGTGTCCCTCCATGCCTGGCGCCATTTTATCTGTTCAACTTTACCTCCTCCCCCTAATGAAAGGATCCTGATTTCCAGTAGACCAAGGTTTTTCTTTTTGTTTTAATTAACTCCTTATGTCCAAATCCATTCCTGCTCTGTGCTCTTGCTTATGTTTTACATTCTTAGGTGGGGTGAAAATATTCCTTCTTGCCTCCTTACCATATTCCTAGTCATCACCCCAGGTTCAGATGAACCCCACCTCCTGCCCATCACTCTTATTCTATATTGATCTTTACTTGCATTTATTCTGAAGGCATTGACCACACACAGTACTCATCTTGACCCTTAGCAATATATGTGTTTGTTCAAAGGCGTAACAGACAGTTTCATGTGTTCGTTTTTGTCTCCTCATCTCATTAATATTTCATCAGTATATATGCCTAACAATTACTCGGTAAAGATTTGTATTAATGGCTGGCCAGGCATTGGTTTTATTCTAATTCAATTTTAACATATTTTGACACCCAAATCAAAAAGGCTTATAGAAACTGATCCTACCATCTGTAATCCCAGATTAAAGTTCAGAAGGATGGACTGTCGGGATGTCACAGAATGAAGATGGGTTTTCTGCCTGAAAAACTAAATTTAGAGGTACATTGGAAAAACAATATCAACTAGCAAGCAGTCTGTAGAAAGAAATCTGTTTGGCTGGTTTGTGATGGATATATGAATTATGGGATTAGTCATGCCACTCTGGATTTGAAATGTATGTGATATTGAGCTACTGGGAGTGAAAATGAGTCAAAGTAAAAATGACAATTGACATGGATTATAAAACATCTGATTACAGCATTCTAACGGATCTTGATTTCCTTTTTTTTAAACACCCAGATACCGCCCGTCACTGCGCGAATGGACTTTTGAAAGTGCTGTTGTCAGAGATTTGCCAGCATGGAGACCTCATCAATGCTTTCGTCACTGAATGACGAGTGTAAATCAGACAATTACATTGAACCTCACTACAAGGAATGGTATCGAGTGGCCGTTGACACGCTGATTGAACACGGGTTGGATGCGTACCAGGAATTTCTTGCCAAGGAACGAGTGTCAGACTTTCTAGCTGAGGAAGAGATTAATTATATTTTGAAAAATGTCCAGAAAGTGACGCCAAGTACAGCATATGGCCCTGATAATTCCTGCGACGATACCTCCTCTTCGGGAACTTACTGGCCCATCGAGTCGGACGTGGAAGCTCCGAACCTTGACTTAGGTTGGCCGTGTGTGATGCCCGGACTCTCGGGGGGCACCCACATTGACCTCCTCTTCCATCCACCTAGAGCACAGCTACTTACAATTAAGGAGACGATTCGGAAGATGATAAAAGAAGCCAGAAAGGTAACATTTCTATTTCTAAATGAAAACTTTGAAACATCTGGAAGCACCAGAGTAGTGTATCAGATATATATGTATATGTATGTTAATGAAAGGGTCTTTATGTGCGTGGACCATGCCAATCACTTTCAGGAAATATACCTCTGGATACGTGCGAAGGTGGTACTTCCCTTGTTTTGCAAATATCTGAGAGGGTGGGGTTGGGCCCTGCTGCACATGGAGAATTTCCTTCTCCTTGTAATGTACGTCCACCTGAGAGATCTTCATGTATGAAAGTTGAGATGTGTGGACTGGGAAGGAGATAATGATGCGTTCATAGTGTAAATCACTTAAATTTTCCTTAATCTCTGAAAGGAAGTATGTTGTTGGTAAATCTGGTAAAAATTTCTCGGTTCTCAGCAGGACTGAGCCCTAATTCTCGCTCTGGATATATATAAATAAACCATGAACCATAGGTTATAAATAAACCATAGGTTTACTTATTTTCCTCCTGAGTTGTGTGGAAACAGTATAAAATCAGGCATGAGAGTGTAAAATTCTGGAGGAATGTTCTGGAGGTGCTCAGCATCTGAGGGACTCAGCACTCTTCGTTAAATATTTATGTGGGTTGATAAACCTCAGACATTCTGTTTTAGAGCTCAGATAAATCTGCAGAAATGTCCTTTTAGTCAATCTAGTAGGTCCTTTGGAAACTACAACCAAATATCCCGGGCTGTTTATTGAGTTTTAAAATGGATGAAGACAGTTACGATTGTTCACTATGAAGTGTCTATTTCTTCATTACAGAAACGACACAGTATAGAAATTTAGATCCAAAAGGGAACTTAGGATGCACGCATACACGGCATTGCTTTCTTTCATGTCAACAAGACACAGAGGTGCTGGGAAAAGCACGCTTTTATGAAGTACAGACATATTGGACCCTTGAAACCCACATGGACACACAAGTTTGCAAGACAGATAACTAAGAGCCCCCCATTGTAGTTTGTGTCACCTAGGATTACAGGACTAAGGTCAAATGCAGGCTTTGCAAAAAGTAAGGTGTTCCCCCACCCTCAGCCTCTTGAGCTCAAATACCCTGACTTTTTACTTTTTAGCCTTGTTAACTCCTTTAGCAGGATTCCATTAACGGAAGCACTAATCTATTCCAGTTGTTAAAAATTAGTTATGGAGTCAGGCACCCTGGTAGGAGTCCAAGCTTTAATTGAACACATTGAACTGTCAGTTCGGTTTTCTGAACTGAACCATGAGAATTTGAAAAACCGGGCCATCCTACGCTCTGTGAACAGACTTTACAGCTGGATTTTGTAAAACAAGAGAGCAAAAGTCAAGACAATACATGAGTCCCTGTAAAGATGAAACAACAAACGTCCAGCACTAACGTGTGTAGATTTCTGTCTGGGGAGCCGCGTTCCTGAACGACCGACCGTGTTAAGTGAAAAGTACACCAGCGAAGCTTCGCGTTTGCATTTGAACCGTGGTGAGCCTGGTCGTTGGCTTAGTCAACCTGCACCATAGCTCGCTTCCTGTGGGACACTGCGTTTCCGTGATGCAAAATGAAATTCAGGACCTGCATGAGGTCGTGGGCTCCTGTTCACCGGAAACTGAACATTAGCCATGACCTTCTGATTGTTTTTTTTTTTTCTACCTAATGTGGCAGCGCTTTATTTAGGGAGCCTCTAAAACTCATATCCTGCACCTGATCGTTGTCTGCTAGGAACTCCCACTTGAATTAGCGAGTTGAAGAACTCAAAGTCCGGGCTGTAAAACCGTATTATCATCTTTTGCTTCTCTTTCACAAAACCCAAGTGGCATAAAATCAGAAAGAGTTTTCCCTTTATGCATCCTCAGGGTACGTACAGTCCCTTGTATGTCCATATCCAAGGTGAATTCAAAGAAAGAGAATTAGTTGAACTTTATAAATTGGGTATGTTTGAAATTCAATATAAATCATAACAGATAACTTAGTGGTTTGGTTTTGTTTTTTCCAAAAGCATTGGAGAAGGTGTTCGTTTCTAACCAGGTGCAATAAATACTGAGGTCAAACGGGCTATAAATGCCTGGGGTGTATATTCCTCAAGTATTTTAGAAATTGCTTCCTATGTCACTATGTTTGTTGGAAGATTTTTGAAGGCTCCAGCACTCCAGGGAAGAAAAAGTTACTGACCCCATTTTTACAAAATTTGAGACTATTCAGCTCACAACCGAGCAAGGTTTTGCAGAAAATGTTAAAATAGGAAGAACAAATATTATTATGAAATGCCAGCTTAGGGGAAGACATTGCCTTTTTAACTTTCTCTCTGCTGTTTGTGACTATTATTCACTCAGCAGATAAGTCCGGGTCTTATAAACCTTCGGAATCAATGGAAGCTTATTTTGATGATAAACTTCCTGTTCTTGAACAATCTTCAGAGGACAGATTCTCTTTCTTGGCCAATCAGTTACCATGGCATTGTAAAGAGGATGATCTCTTTTCTTTTCATAAAGGGCTTGGATAATGTTCGTTTTAATGGCTAGGGTAAAGATTCCCGCCTCCACGTTTCGCAGGGAGAGTCGTTTGTCAATCCACATTGTGGAACTCTTTGGAGAGATGAGGTCCTAACAAGCAGCGCTATAGGAACCAGCAAAGAAGAACCCAGGAAACGGTCTCAGAGAAGAATTTAAATTCGTTTTCCACTGTTGTGTTTGCAGTTGAGATAAGGTGCCTATGAAATTAAATGTCATATAGTGGAAAAATCTTAAAATATTGAAAAGAATCCAAAAGCAATCTTCTTAGCGATCCAGACATTTGAAGTCTGATCATAACCAGCAAATTCCCCTTCCAGGCCTCTGGGAGAGGAAATAAAAGTGGTACGCCGTCTCAGCTCTCTTGATTGGAAATACTTTGTTTTTGAATTTCACTGATGTATATGCATTTACTTACCTAGAGTCATATAATCTTTATAGTATTTCAAAAGTCCATGGATTTATTTTTATTTATTCATTTTGTTTTTTGCCAGTTGTCACTTAGAAGTTGTTTACACTTTTTAATTTTTTTTCTTTTGTTTCCTTTCTCTCCCCCCCCCCCTTTTGTATATTTGCTTATTTGGTTATTTCAGAATTTTCTTTTAGGAAAACCCAATTACAGGTAACATGTTGTGTACTAAAAGCAGATTTTATTTTTATTTACTGGCTCTTTTTCTAAGCTCTTTCTAGTTTTCACTATGTGGTTGACATAATTACATTTAGTTCAACTTTATAAGTCTGATAACATCTAACAAGACTTTTCCCAGGCAATTATTTATCTCTCAAGAGGTGTTCCCAAGATGATATATGCATTTATTCCTAATTAGTGTGAATACCTCTTATGAAAGGAGCCTTTCTAATTACTTGAAAAAGTCATCTTTCATTAAAGGCATTTTTCTTCTAGCCACTCAGAGATAGATATCCATGAAGTAATAGTTTCTGATAGTCCTGAATATGGAAGTTTTTAACCAGAATGCTGTTTGCCTCTCTGCTTCC